AAGGAGAGAGCACCAAAAGATGTGGACGAGATTATTAAGCTGGCAGAACAGTATATGGAAGCCTATGAAGGGAGTATAACTGGCAAGTCCAAGAATAACCAGTTAAAGTCAAAACCAGGGGTGGCTGACCAGAAACAGGACACCACCATAGGTGCCAGGAACTCAACAGAAAAGGGAGAAGAGATGCTATATTTGTTATAAAATGGGGAACATTGCATAGGAGTGCAAGTCCATCACCAACAAATAACAGCATAAATATCAACATAAAGCAGCTGGAGCTACCTACAAAGATGGCGCTAGCTAGAAACAAGAAAAGAAGTGACTCTCACCATAGATGCTGCTATCAGAAGAAGCAGAATAGAGACAACTCATCAGATTCACCACAATAAGGAAGTGCTAGCTCCATAACTAAACAGTGCACAACTGATAGTCAGCTCAAGTTTGCAAATGGATCAACAGTGCCACAAATTATTGGAGCATGTGACTAACATTGAGAGGTACCAAAAAACCATAAAATGTCAGTAGGTGAAGGCTATATCAGAGACAAGAAAGTGAAAGTCCTATGAGACACTGGGTGCAGTAGTTCAGCAGAGAGAACCAGTCTAGTATTTGATGACCAGATGATAGGCAAGGTACATCTTTATGTGCTCAGTGATGGAACATTGAGAAAGTTTCACAGAGCACGAATATTGGTGGATACTCCATACTATGTGGGAGACCACGAAGTCATGTGTATGAAGGCTCCAGTCTGTGACTTGATGATTGAAAATATACCAGGTAGTAAAAGTTTGGAGGAACCACACAGAAAAGAGACTAATGAGGCACCTGCATTCACCACAGAGCTCAAGGGAAGAAGAGCAAGCAAGACATCAAGCCCTTTCAAGTTTTGAAAAGTGACATCCTGAATGTAAGTCTATGGGAACTAAAGAAAGCAAAGAAGAAAGACCCTACATTGGGACAGTTTCCAAGAGAAAGTCAAGCACAAGACAAAAGGGAAAGAGACTTACAAAACAGAGGGCTAGAAAGAACTACTGTACCGGATCTATCAAAGCAGTTCTACTGGGGAATCCAAACACATCAAAGGCAGTCAGAAGCACTTCTATAACAAGAAGACCAAAGACTGCCATTTCAAGGCCAGACAGAAGGTTTTAGTTCTGCTACCCACAACCAATAACAAACTCATCCTACAGTGGAAAATACTGAACTGATTGACAACCAAAAGAAAGAGGTAGAAAATCTACTGTACCAGTATACAGATAGATTAGGCAAAACGGACCTCAAGCAACACATGATCAAGACAAAGACAAGAGATCCAGTCAAGGAGAAGCCCTACCAGGTGTCCTATGGAATGAGAGACCAACAAGGGAACTGCAAATGCTGGTGTAGACTATATAAGAAGACTTCTTGCCTGAACTGAAAACAGTATTTGTATACAGTATAAAAAATATTGTAAATATTTTTCTTGAAAAGGGGCTTATTGTTGGATATACAAGTCTATTCAGTTTAAGTTATTGTTTAGTGATTTAATATTTAATGATTACATACTTTCAGAATAAAAGTTTTAAAAGCAACAGTTATGACAAGTTTCATAATGTAACTCTGTATGAATCATATGTTGTTTCTGTAGTTTGTTGTACTAGACTTTTGTAATATTGTTGACATCATTTTACTTGAAGCTTCTAAATTTTTCTTATGTTTAATATTATTGTTACTAGAGGGCTAGATATTTCTAGATTTTCTGTCATGTGTTATACATACATGCAGATACAAAAGTAAAGTTAGTGAAAATGAAGTTAGACCATGTGATTGTCAGTTTAGTTGTAGCAGGCAATTTATAAGGTGAGAGTTTCAGAGTTTGTAGCATACTAACAGACATAAGAAGAAGAATTTGTCTTGTCAAAGGGTGTTTTAAAATAATTGAACCTACCTAAGTGGACTTTGATAAAAAGGAGAAAATTATTTAAAGCTCTGGATACAACTGTTGTAACCAATGGTGATTTTGAAGTGAGCTTCACAACTTGTATTGTAACAACAGAGATACAGAAGAATAATTTGTCTTGTCAATTCGGTTCAAAAGTAATTGAACCAGCCTGTGTGAACTTTTGAAGAAAAAGAAAATTATTTAAAGCTCTAGATTCAACTGTAGTGAACAATAGTGTAACAAATAATTTTTATGTTTGACTTGTTTTGAATACATTATTTTAAAATAAGTGGATTGTGTGCTGTTCATTTATTGTTGAAATTTATTTCCAAAAAGTTACAGACACCTACTGCAAAGAATCCAGCCCCTATAAAAACTTAACAGTTGCAATTATTTATTCCAAAAGCCTCAGCTTCTAACCTTTTTACATCTGCATTCTTTTAATTTTATTATTATCCTGTGCATTTACTATGGACCCTCTCTCAGTACATGAAAAGAAATAAATCACAGTGAGAAAGTTCAGTATAAACAAATAATCACATAAAGCACAAAGTGGGAGCTTTATAGAGTAACATTTAAAATTTTTATTTATTCATTTAAGCTTTGTTACCTAACAAAGTAATTTTCTAATTTTTACATTT